TTTGTTGGCTACCGCACAAAGTAGTACAACCTCAACCCAACCATACTATGTTGACATGTACATAACAGATAACATGTATCCAACAAACAGATAATCATATAACCAGTCAGACAAACAGGCAGATCTACATACCACTACCGCATAACAACATCTTATATCCCAAAATACACATTTAACAGATCACTACTACACAACAACACCCGATATACCAGAATACATATTCCACTAGGCTGACATTTGTGTATTCGACCCACAATTACAGCGAGGAAAACTCAACTCTCAGTCCGATCACAAGCTGAATAAATCTCTACTCTGAAAACCGACTCTACCCGACACATATTATTCAAAATATTGCCCAACTTAAATTAATACCAAATTACCACTACAAACAAAATTACATTTAATGGCATAAGTTTTTTTGTGCCATAAGTTTTTTTGTGCCGCTATATTATGTTTTCAGTGGGACAAATTTTATTTATGGCACTATATACTGAAAATTCTAATTTCATATTATCGTTTCTCTCTCTCTCTCTCTCTCTCCTCCCCCATTTCGCTCATCACTAAAGTTTAAAAAAAAATTAAACGGAAAAAGATTGGGCTCAATCATATACCCTAATATCTAGTTGTTTTAGATTTTTTATCCTTTGTTCTGTATTCCATAACCTAATCTCCAGTTCTCAAATTGATGCCTCTCATAGTCCACAACCCCACCATCATTGGCACCGGACCATCCAAACACAATGTCGCACACCATACGATCACGAGAATACGTATGATTCCAATTTTTATTTTGATTTTGATTTCAGTTGTTGATTTTTGTTTCAATTTCCAAACGTAAAAGAAAAGCAGACCATCGCTTCATCGGACATTTGGAAATCTATCTATTGATTCTGGTTGTTTGGGGCAAGTTTTGCAAATTCATATCTTGACTCTGTTACATGTTTCTCTGTTTATTTTAAATCCAAAACTAGGTTGAATTTCAAAACTTAAATCCATCATAAGCACGCCACTTGATAGGATCACGATTTTATTTTGTTTCATGTAGAGTTTCAAAAGCTACATTGAGGGATTACATTGAGAAAATTGAAGCAATTGTTGCTAACTTGGCTTCCAAGGTGCCGCTGAAGTTGCCATTATTAACTTCTCGAATCCTTGAAAGCTTATTCTAAAAATGGGTAAAAATAAGAAATTAAAAAGAATTTACCTCTGGTTTTTTCTTTTACTTTTATCTTCTAACTAATCCTTCAATTTGTTTCTCTTTAACTTTTCAACATTTTTTTTCACTTCAGGTGACTATTGGCGCTTTACAACCTGAAGTAAGTTTCTTATTTTGTACATCTCAAAACTCTCTCATAAAGTGGTTATAGTCTGGTATTTGATTTGATAAATAGATATGCTTTTCGATGAGGAATCTTTTAATATTTCATATTTGAGGCTATACAGTTAAGTTTTTGTGTTAGGTGACATATTATGTTGTTGCACCACATGTGTTTGATGAAATGCCTACATGAAAGTAAATGTACAAAATACCAATTCACTTTATTGTACATAGTTCCAGGAGATTAATATCATTATATTTGGCTTTCAGCTGACAAAGAATAACTTGTGGGATAAACGGACGTATCAACCCAAGAATGACAGTTAGTATGTTTTAGCTTCCTTTCCATGATTCTTTTACCATATTTAGCTTCTTAGCCATGATTCCTTTACCTTGTTTGGAGTTTCAACAATCATGTTGCAACATAAAAGTTTATTGGATACAATGATTTTTAAGTTTGGTGCGACTATCCATGCTCTTGAACATATATTAATGTTTCTTACATATTTCAAAAAACTAATTTGTTATGTTTTTTTCCATCATTACTTCTGATCCTATGCATAACTTACTCTCGTTTATTGATTAATATGTTACCATACTATAATAATGAGAATTGGGTCGAGTAAAAGTAAGATTTTTTTTAATATTTTATTTTGTATGAGCACATTCGTTATTATTAAGTTATGAATGAAATAATATTTACAAAATATAATTTTGTGCTAATTTACAGTTTACAAATATTAGGGATTTGTATGTACAAACATTCTCACTCATTTTGGTGTTGCTTCTTAATTTTGTTTTTGTTTTGTGGCCTACAAGTGTATCCTATTTTTGTATTACTTCAAATTGTTATCGACATTTTTATATTATTTATTACTTTTATTGGTCTATGTTGTGGCACGGAACCAAATGTCAGATGCATCCGAATTGCTGCAGGTGATCTCTATCTCAAAATTTATTTATAACCACTAAATTAGAAATGAATAACAATTAATTTGAAAACAAACAAAATGTTAGTCATGTATCTTTTTTTTTTAAATTTATTTGTTTCCGGATGATGTTTGTGAGATGACTGCAAATAATAGAGATAATGGGTTCCCTCTTCTTTTAGGAGTGGAGGAGGAAGAAGTTACACAAACAAAGAGAACAATCTTTTTTTGAAGAATTTTTATTTTAAATATAGACAATATTGTTGTTAAACAAGTTAAATTTGAATTTAAGTAATGATAATATGTTCTCCATTTATTATGTTAATTGTCTTTTTATTGTTTTATATTAAAAAAACTAGACCTAATTTTTGAATATATTTGTTTTGTGGTGAAAAATATGTGTCACAACATAAATATAATAGGTATATTAGTATTAGTGGCATAAAAAAATGCCACTAAAACCCAATAGTGTTGTAGTGGCATAAAAAAAGTGTCATTAAAACCCCATATGGCTGCAGCAACACAACCAAAAAGTGTCGCTAAAAGTCTTTAATGGGAGCGTTTCTAGTGACACTTTTTTTTGTGTCGCCAAGTATAGAAAAGAAATTGGAGCAAATTAATGATCAAAATCAAGGAATATAAAAACACAGTCAAGCATGATCTCCATGATATCGATTCAAGCATTATAAAACAGAAAACATTAAAAAACATGGAGTAGTACCATGTCATCATCCATTGTCTCCGCCAAATCATAGCGATCTTCATGATAAGTTGTTGGCCATCTCTATCTTATTCTACATCCTCCACCTAAGAAGTGATGGCGTAAGGGTATGCTTATAGTTGTTGGGTGTTACAACTTAAAAGAGAGAGGATTCCCAGAGAATGATTGAATGAATCGTCGATTTCATCAGTTAGGGTTTTTTACCCCCTTTTAATTTTGGGACGTAAAGCGATAGAATATGGTGTGAAATGGAAATTTTTATAGTAAAATGAGTTACAATCCATACAGTGGCATATAAGGGAATTGAAAAAAATCAACAATACTTTATACGACACATAATATTTAGTGACATCTACTCTAATAAATGAATTTTTTTTGTCACATGTCGCATTCTCATTCAAATTGTCAAATGTCATTTTTTGGTTATTTTGAATTAATTTTTTTCCACATGTCATTTTATGAGCTTTCTTATTTTATTAAATTCCACATAATATTTTAATATAAATTACAATAATTGTAGTAATAAATGAATATCAATTTCATTAATGGACTTACCTTCTAATTTCAAAAATTTCAAATTAAAACTCATTAAATTATTTATTTTATATATTTAAATTATTTGTTTAAATTTAAAATATAAGAAAAACATTTGAATTTTAATAATTCATTTTTTTTTATTTTCTTATAAATTGAAATTTCTCAAATATTTAGACTTTTGTATCTAACTTTTTATTTTTAAATTAACTTATGTAATAAATGGGTCACACAACTAGTTTATATCATTATATATCAATAATAATAATAAATATTAGTGGCATAAAATGTTAAGTGCCATTAAATCCAATAACGGTTACAGTGACATATAAAATATGTCACTAAAAACATGATATTGTGGCACAAAAATATATGTCATTAAAAATGTATGCCACTAAATGTTATTTTGTTTGTAGTGGTAAGTTCAATTGGGAAAATAGAAAAGGTTAAGAATAAGAGAATCATTCACAACCAATCATTTAATTTTGCCGCAAAACGCTCTAGGGTACCGACGTGATAGAGGATGAGTAATATCCATATATGAATTCACAACCTCCCCTTCGCCGCCAACCACCACCATCGTCGCCGTTGCCGCTCACGTTAATGGCTTTCTTTTATATCCAAGGCAAATATATATAAAGCTGCATCCAATTGAAAAATAATTATATCACCCTATAACACAACATCTATACCTAAGATGGGTTCGGGGTATACCGTTCAAACCATTGTTGTTAAAATCACGATCCTACAATCCTGTGTATGAAAACTATCCGAATCGTAAACAAATCGTATTTGGGGTGTGATCGCAGGTAGAATCGTAAGATCGTAGGATCAAGATCCGATCCGATCCTACATTTCTGTGAATTTTTTTTTTTTTTTTTTTTTTGCAAATGAATTTTTTTTGCCGCTTTGTGTCTTTTACCCTTAGCAATTTACCGTTTATTATTTTATGTTGCGACTTATAACTAATATTTTGAAGTTTTTATAACTTTTGAACGAAAAAAATGAATGTTTGAAATATTTTTCTTGTTTTAAAACTATAAATTAAAGTTATGTTTTATTTTGTGGAATCTTAAGATCCCGAACCCAATATTGCAAACTCAAAAGCGATCCTACGTAGGATCACGATCTTGACAACTTTTGTTCAAACGACGAGATTTACAACTTAGCATAAAATCTTAGAATTGGATTTTATTTTTAGTGAAATCCTAGTATTTAATTAAGAAAACCACATGCAATTCAAGAAACTTTTATCTTGCAACTCGTGAAAATGACATAATTTGATTCAACTGATATCGATCGAATTACATATACTTAATTAAACTACTTATAATTACAGGTTGGAATCCATTAAAAGAACCTTCATTAATATCTTGCAACTATGTACTATATACATTTATCAAACATATACGGAAAATTCAAATAATCGCTATCTAATGAAAATTCAAATAATCGCTATCTAATGAGATTCGTTAGTGAAACCAACTCTGGAAAACCATCAGCATCGCCGGCGCCAATTAACCTTTCTTCTGTTGCCGTCAATGCATGGGAGGAGAAGGGCTTCATGCAGCTCAATCACTTCTGTTCTTCTCTTCTTCATGTTTTCTGCTTTCGCATACACTTCTTGCATCTTTCTCTTTGTTGCTTCAAATTTCACCAACGATTCTACCACTCCGCCATTTCCAATCTTTGCATCTTTTTCTGAACCTTCCAACTTCCTCTTCGTGTTCATATCCAGATTGATTGGGTTTACTTGTTGGGATTTTAGTTCGACATGGTTTGATTCTTTCTTGATCCATTCCTCCACTGTGCGCTTCCATTCTTTCACGAGTTTCACAGCAATCTGGCGAACTTTTTCGGATGGATGCTTTTTAAGAGTGGTTATGGTTCTCCCAATCTTCGTTGTCTCCAGAGTTTTCATAGTTAACTCCATGGATTGAAGTTTCGTTAACAAATCCCACACTACTACTACAGATTCAGATTCATCTCCACTCCTTTCAAGAATCTTTTTCATCCTCAGGACCTCAGCAACTCCCTGACTGTAAACCCTAGGACCAAGATCATCGTTAACTTTTGGAATTTGAAACTTCGTTTCCGTATTGGACTTCAATGTGTTCACCATCGTCGGCTGTTGCTGTTGCTGTTTGCAGGTGGGTACGATTTGCTTCTCTATCGGTGGCTTTCCCTGGCTGTTGCTCCTTTCCCGGCTTTCTTCATTAAGCACAACAGAAGTGTTCAACGTGTCTTCCCTTTCATTACTGACGTCGGGGCTCTGATTCTTACACTTATCACATTCAGAGTGCTTGATCAACTGATCATCGAAGAAGAGAGTTTGAGCAATCATGTCTCTTCTAATTTGGAACTCCGTTGGGCGATTAGAAGCAGCCAACACGATCGCTGTCTTGATGATCTCAAATATATCTCTATTCTTCGCATTGCGTAAGTTGTTCCTCCATTCCTCCTTCACTGATGCAGCGGATTTTGAGTCTTCCATCAGATTTTATTTTTCAATTCAAGAAAACCCTGATTTCGATGTGACACCCAGAATCAAGAACTTGAACAGGAGCGAGGCAACGTAAGAAGTAAAAAGTAAGTGGTTTTTTGATGATAGGGTTTCTGCGCAATTTGTAACGTTAAACAGTACGTAGTAATTGAGATTGACAGCTATGGATGTTTTCGTTGACGTCGATGAAGAGATTGATGCATTGAAGGAATAAGATCACTCTCTCACTACTTTTAACAGGCTTTCCACAATTGTTTCCTTTCTTTGAAATAACTGAAGTAAAACTGGATATATTTATCACTCAATCACGCGTAGTAATAAGGCAACCCGACTAGTGTGATACTTGATCGGCAAGAAATTAGTTTACATCATTTTTTCATGAAATATTGCTTAAGGTAAAAACGGGCATTCTTACCTTGTTTCGCCCGAGACACATGAATAACCAAATTAAGAATGTCATTGTGTTTTATTCATAACTTTAAAGTTTGTGATTGATGTTAACGGACTGTTTTTGTATTTTGGGTGAAACTTTTCATCCTTGAATTTTTTATATAATAAATTGTTATCATAAATTGTTTTTTTTATTGAATTTTTACCATGTATAATTTGAAGTAGAGAAAATTGCATATATACCCAATTAATATCTAGATATCATATATATCTTTAAAATAAGTATTCAAAATATATTATATTTGCCAAAATCATATTTTTTAATATTTTTATAATCATTATTTGTAAATCATTTTAATATTTTTTTTAAAATTAATTAACAATAATAACCTTGGTACTATTTTGAGTCGATGCTAATTGTATCTACCATAAACAACGATTGAGCTTGGAAACAAACCTACACACAGTCGAAGTTTGATCTGACACTCCATCAATGTCTTCTCCGTTGGAAAATCGACGTCAGCTACGCCATACTCAGTGATTTCATCATCAACGATTTCATTCCGTAGAAACTTCATCATCCACGAGGTGATATTAGTACTTAATTAGGGTTCTGTTTACACTATAGAAAAATAAATCAAAAATTAGATCCTTCTAACGGTAATTTGCAAGTGTGCTCATGAATAATTGTTATACAAGTGAATACAATGTCTCGATAAACAACATCACAGAAATTAATTAGATATAGCCCTCAAAAGCTCATAGTCGTACCGTTTTGGCAATAACCCATGTTGTATGTTGTATGGGAACATTTTCTCATAAGTATGGTGTTTATTCGTTAGCATGAAACATGCCCATAAATGATCGACAATGATCAACCATTGATTTTTATGCATGTATTATGAGCCTAAAATGAACAACAAATTACTTTTAACCACAAATTTTAAGATAGACCTTGGTTTTAAAAAATAATTTTTAAGGGATAAAAGTAAAAAATAAGGAATAAAAAATAAAGAATAATAAATATTTAATAATACATGACATCAATTCATGAATATATAAATAAATAAACAGAGGTGATATTGATTCCCCTTAGGTATGATACTTTAATATGTTGGACTATAAAAATTAACAAAGTTTTTGTCGGACTTGCATGTGATCGATGACCAGGAACAATAGAAAAAGTGCCTCACTGTTGCAACAAGAAATAAAGACGGCAGGCAACGTTGGCATTAGTGACGACATCAAGTCGGACATGCCTAATGTTGCCGCTAAACCAACGTCACGTAGCTAAAGGCCCACATCGGCGATCCGTGTGACTTTGCCAAAAATCAATCTTATTATATAAAATATAGGTTTTATATGAAACCTTTTAAAGTGATTTTTTAAAAAAAAATTGGTATCATGACTTATTATATGCATGTAATAATCATGATATCATATGTTTTTTTTAAACTAGAATTATAAAAACATTAAAGGCCCTAAAAAACCTCAAATCTATGCAATTTTATTTTAATAAAACTCGTACGTCTCTAGATACGCTAGTGACATAAATGATATCTAACCGCTTAGTGTTATCTTTGTTGAATCTATATGCTCAATAATCATTATGGAGTGATATTGCTAATAATATATGATCCCATAGGGTCACACCTTTATCAAGTTGTCACATTTTATATATTTATTATTAATATGATTATTAATAAATAATATCAATTATTGTATTTAATTAGGGAATAATTTATAAGAGAGTATAACTAGTTATTATTTCATATGATACGAATTAATAAGTCATGCACTGTAACATCCCAAAAGACATAAAAATTTAAAATCATATGATACGATCATTATTTACAAAAAGAACCATTGTTTCAAAAGTAAAGTCATATCAGAGTGTCCCAAAAATCAATATTATGAAAATAGGAAAATGTGTAAGATCAAGCCTTCGCTTTCCCACGATCCTCAGAAGTACCTGAAACAATAAACTAAAAATGTAAGTCAAAGCTTAGTGAGTTCCCCCAAATTACCATTACACATAACATATAACATATAACATTATATGTTGGGCCCACAGCTAAAAGACTAGATTACCCCTGAGCCAACAGTATGAGTTTGGCTTGCCCTCGGGGCCACAACTCATATATGGCTTTCTCCCGAGCCCACAACATAAGTCCGACTTACCCTCGGGGCCCACAGCTTATGTTTGGCTTGCTCTTGATCCCACAACATAAGTCTGGTTTGCACTCGGAGCCCACAACTTATGTCTGTCTTGGTCTCCGGTTTGTTGGCTGCCGTACAAAGCAGTACAACCTCAACCCAACCATACTATGTTGACATGTACATAACAGATAACATGTATCCAACAAACAGATAATCATATAACTGTTTGATTAATGTCTAAGTCCATAACTATATTTGGTATGTACTTGACCCGACCCGGCATGGTCCATTT